AGTTAATATACTTTTTGAACCCAAAGTATACCTGTTGTTTGTGTTCTTCCTTGTTTTTAAAGAAGTACTGTGGGTTTATCTTTAAGTGTTTTCCTTGGATGTTTCTTTGGAGTGTTTTGTAGAGTTACCAAAAAATGAAATTTTTAGGAATTTTGAGATTTGCGGGAAAGAGTTTTAGTTTTTTTAAAATTCAAAATTATTACAATTATTTATAAAACTTCAAAAAAACAATTAATTATTAATAAATGCATATATTTATTATTGCGCTTTGCACTTTACCTATATATCGAACTTAATACACTGTATACATCATGCTTATTACATCATTACCACTCAAAAGTATAATAGTAGTTCAATTATGTTGGTAATAAACTTCGTTCACGTAAATTCATAACCTTTTGTTCCCTTATGACACGTAATGCACATTCTTTTATAAGTCAAGAACGCAGAGAAGCAGATGCTGCCTGAAAACGTAAAAATAGAGCCATGGAAACTGTTAGGCAACGTCAACAGAAGCACCAGAGTGATGCTGCAGCTCACCGCCAATGGTACATCAATAATTCTCAACTGCACAAATTCATCCTTAAATTCTCTGAAGCTACAGATGTAGGCAATTATTTTGCTTCACACAGAATAGATGTTACTAATAGCACTATATGTAATTACTGTAATATGCTTAAGTTACCTATAGAAAGTCCAGGAATGTACTGTTCCAATGGAAAGGTAGTGTTGATAGAACCTACTATTTCACCACTTTTACACCACCTCTTAGCAGTTTAAAGGATATTGCAAAGGATTTTCATGACAAAATTTGTTTTTACAATTTGGCATTCACCTTTGCTTCCATTGGTGTCAGGTTCGATCGCAAGCTTGCTAATGCAAAGAATGGCATCTATACTTTTCGTGTTCAAGGTTCATTTTATCACCAGATTGGTTCGCTACTACCAGAGGCAGGATCTAATCCCCACTACTTACAGATGTATATCTATGATACCCAACATGAATTACACCATCGAACAAATGCCATCTCTAATTCAAATCTCAACCCTGCTATTCTTGAAGACATAAAAGCCATACTTGATGAAGTGAACTTCTATTCTATTAACTTTCGATATATTTCTAATTTTCCTGAAGAAGATATTAAAAATCTATCGATGCTTATTCATACAAACATTCCTGAACTTGATCAAAGGACCCATAATGTCCCAACAGCTCCTCAAGTAGCGGAAATCTGGATCAATAATGATGTGCCTCCCGGTGTGATTCAGAAATGTGACATTCTATTATGTACACGAATGAATTAGCTGATTCATATCTCTGAGTTCAATGAGTGCTATGATTCTTTGGCCTATCCACTTCTATTTCCTAATAGTGAGCAAGGATGGATTTCTCAACAAATACCATATAGAAATGTTTCTCTACCTAAGACAATTAACATTAATTAATATTTTAATAGTCGAGATAGTGATGATCTAATATATGAAAATAGCAATACCAGTACAACATGACACAGAAAATTTGTAAGTGCAATAAAATATTATATGTATTGGATTCAAATTTGGCTTTGCTCCACCAATATATTTTTACATACAGGACAACTTTCCAACAATATGTAGTTGATATATTTGTCAAAATCAAATTGGATCACTTAAATTTCCACTGTCAAAATCAAAACAAGATAGGTAGTGAACTATATCAGAGCATTTATGATGCAATCCTATGCGGTGACAACGATCCAAGATACATTGGTTAGAGAGTAATACTTCCTTTCACATTCATTGGAGTCCTCGTGATATGATGCAGAGATATCAAGATGCAATGGCCTTACTGTGTATAGGCCGATCTGATTTATTTATCACTATGATGTGTAACTTCTATTGGTCAGAAATTCAAGCCCTTATGCTACCTGAACAACAAGCTTAAAATCAGCCTGATATTATGAGTACGTTGTCATGTATTATCTATAATAGCTAATTCATCAAATTAATTTTTTTTATTCTTTCTAGCAAGAGTTTTTCAGGAGAAGCTTTAAGAATTGAAAAAAGATCTTTTCAAGCATGGAGTTCTCAGAAAAACGATCGCATACATAATAATATTCCATATGACCTTCCCTTGACGGGCAGCCAAAAAATATGATTGGACCAATAGGATGATAGGTTTAAACTAGTAGTAGGACTTTCTCCATCCTGTGTAAGTTCCACCTGGCGTGAGCCCATCTACTTGATGCAAGCTGGTCAATCAAGGTAGTCGGATTGGACTTTGGGAAACCAGTACTACTGGAAACGGTAAATACTAGGTAGCATTATTTTATAGTCTAAAATAGCAATAGTTTAGTCTGTAAAGATGTTAGATGTAATGACAGTACTATCAATTAGTAAATAAAGTCTCGCATCTAATACCCTTAGCTAACTTAAAAAAAATAAAAAAATAAAAAAAAAAAATAAATTTAATTATTAGACTTGTGGATTCATAGCACAGTGGTTAGTGCTCCACAGATCAAATCACAAAATACTGGTTCAACTCCATGTAAAGGCAGTTGAACAGTACTACATGATATCTGGTACCATAATCTAATATTTGCTGTTTCTCATGCGAAGCCATTTCATATACTGATCCAGTGAGCATTGAGATTGTGATCTCCAGTTAAGGTGTTGTGATGCGTCGATCATCCAGTTAGTGTTACGATGATCGCACTATGTTTGGTACATTTTTCAATTTCCACACTGGTCGCTTGCCTTCCCCTATAGTCCACAAGACTATAAAAGAAAACCTGCTAACTTGATTAGGCAACTTTGAAAATGACTATTATATGAACATCACTGACGCGAAGGGATATTCAAGGCCACTTTACAAGAGTTGTGCCCTGCTTAGCATTTGTGTCTCTAGATTTGGCAGCCTACGCCAACTAAGAATCTTAAGAAGTGTCTACTGGAAGATTTAGGAGTCACGTCCCACTTGATGAAAAACTCTCAGATTTGATAGTTTGTGCTAACCTTAGGAAACTCTTGGAGCATTTACTAGGAAGTGTAAAAGAAGTAAGCCCATTGCTGATGAGGAACTGATGTGGAGCATGACCGCACAAACACATTCTGGCACATCACGTATTCTGATTTGCAATAATCTGGGACCTATAGTCTATAGCAACATGTAAAAGTAATGATGTAATTTTAGGAAGCTTAAATTA